TGCTAAATGAAGGCAGCAGCGGTGTGACCACATCTGGATGTCTCCTTCCTGAGAGTCCCCCTGGCTTTTAGAGGGCCACAGTTTCACACCTTGGGGTGCACACTGTACCACCTCTGCCCTCGGCAGCGCGTGGCAGCTTCAGAGAACAGAAGACCGCACTTCCCTCTCACATACGAGAGGGGACCGCTGGAGAGGGGCGTGCGCTTGCGATGAAGGCTGAATGCTGCCAGTTCCGGCCCCCTCTTGTTCGTATTTCCACTGCAAAGCATCACGTTGCGCTTACTTTATACTTTGTGCCTCGGACACACAGAATTTCATGTTAAAGTACTTCTCAGTGTAAAATATCTAAGAAATTATGAAACGTACCCTGTTTACTTCACTGACAGTCATTACTGATCCTGTAAAGAGATATCTGACGAGGGTAAATAATTAATGAGGTTATTCATCTGGAGTAGAGGCACAGAAAACACCTACATCGGGGGGGGCCAGACCCCACAGAATCGTATGACAGCCATTCTTTTCTTTTGTTGAAAAAAAAAGTTACAATAGTGGCTATACATTAGGAAGAGGAGCCCTAGTGGTGCAACAGGTAAGCGCTCGGCTGCTAACCAAAAGGTCGGTGGTTTGAACCCACCAGCTGCCCAATGGGAGAAAGATGTGGCAGTCTGTTTCTGTAAAGATGACAGCCTTGGAAACCCTATGGGGCAGTTCTACTGTCCTACAGGGTCGCTATGAGTCTGAACTGGCTTGACGGCAACGGGACACTTTAAGAGTAAAAACAGAGAGAAACAGAGGTTTAACTATCAACCTGTAATCTGGAAAATTCTGAATTAACCTTATTTTGATTTTTTTCAGATACACAATGACTCTTCTGAAGTCCCTGACCACCTCCCATTAGCGAGAGCCTCAAGAAGAGCTGCCCGCCCACTCCTTGTGGCCCTAGAAGTGCAGTGTGGTTGTGGACTCGCAGGTACGGAAACCACAGGGATCTTATCAAGCCGGCTGAGCGTGCGGGGTGCCAGAGAGCTGGACAGAGCTTTCTGTGATGAAGATTCAGGGAGCTGAAAAACCAAGGTACATTATGCAAGAAGAGATTTAACTTCGAGAATCCCGTTAGTCAGGAAGCCCTCAAATTGCCACGTTATTAGGACGGCAACAGTAATACACCAAAACACAGACACACAGACATAAAGTCACGATGCCAACTGCTGTGCTCAGAAATTTATGAGAATACACTTTTCCCATCGGCAGATCTTGTAACTAAAATTCCCACACCAGAGAGCTGCACGTATCCCCTCAGGAGCAGGACCTTGTATAAAACGTATGCTCAACAAGATCTACACTAATTAAAAGTATATCCTGGCTCCATATAGGGAATGTTCAAAATTGTCCATGAGACGTACTCTTCAATCCTGTGCTTTGCTTCGACTAATACTTTCAATTCATTAACTATTCTGAAAACATCAAGAAAGACAAATTATAAGTTTCCATATGCCAATGCTTTTTGCGGCTGTACATTTAGTGAAGAATATTATAGAAAGTCTCCAACCTGAGCCCAGCTTCCCTCCTCATCCTCCTGATGTTACGTGGTTAGGAATGCAAAAGAACATAACTATTAGTATCGGTGAGTTTAGGGATGTAGCAATTTAATTTTGCAGCCAAGGTGCAGCTTAACT